GTGGCGGGCGCGGCCGTCCCATAGGTGGCCGATGGCGGACCAGCAGCAAGCAAATCGATGGGAAAAAAAGTTGGCATACGCGTGTGAACGCGTCGATATGACGTTATCCAATTAAAAAAGCTGCCTTTGTGTAACCCGATCCGTCGTAGCCAGCCGCAGCCCACGCTGCTCTTCCAATCTAAACCAACCCCCGTTGCTGCTTCGGCTGAAAGGCTGCATCCAATTAGTACATACCTTCCGCTCTATTGTAACTTCGGTACACGTACGATGCGCGGACGATATCTTTGGACTTTCCGTTCTAGATTAAAAGAAAAGAAAAGAAAAAAAAAAAAAAAGGAAACGAGAAAAAGAAAATACTTAACGAATGAGCGCATCGATCGTGCCAGGGATTTACCTTTTTTTATCCGTGAATTAGAACGATTAAATTATTGACACGATACATGTTTCTTATTATTATTGAGTAGGTAAAAAAAAAAAATTAAACTTGAATAATTTCCAAGTAAAATTCGAGCTAATTCGAGTGTTAAATATGAATCGGCAAGGGATTACTCTTATGTGTGAAAATAAATGTAAAAAAAAAAAAAAAAATGTAGAATAAAATTATAACGCTTAAATCCGCTGGAAAATCGAGATATTAAACATGCATAGTCAAGGAATATCGATTTGAATTTTCAAATTCAATCTTTTGCAAAAAAAACAATTTTTAACGAGACAATTTATGTACAGTTTTCTTTTTTACCTATTTTACGTATCAGTGATCAGGATTAAAATGATTAAAATTCATGATCACTGATATGAAATTCATTATCTTTTCTTTTTTTCGTATTAATTTTATTACGAAGAAATAAATAGAAGTAATTACGTTACGTTCTTTACATATGTAAATTAAAAATGAATTTAATAATGTATAAGAAAAGAATAATATAGAAAATATAAGAATTTGGCAGTAGAATAATAATAGGATATTGCAAGAATAATTTCTCAATTTTTAAATTTCTATATTTTTTACATTCTTCTTTTCCTCTTTATTAAAAATACTTAATCTGCACATTTGTGAATCACTGTAATTTTATATATATTTATTACAAAAAGAAAAAAATTAACTACACGAATATCCACTTTTTTTACCCACTGCACAAAAATTTAGTTTGGTCTTTCATATCTTTTAACTAACGAATCGTGTTTCATATTTCATTATTAATTCCAATACGCGATCCACGATAATAAAAATAGCAATGTAAAAACTATAATTGCTTAAGAGTTTGGTTAAGTAATATGAATGATATGTTCGAGAACATATTGTTACAATAACGCTAATGGACGAATGACACGCGTGTGACATCATTGGAAATTAAATATTGAGTCACTTTATGTATCGTACGGTGCATACGTATCTATCAATTCTTAAACGTTTTCAATGTTCAAACAAGACTCGGAACTGTATATGAATTGCGATTAAAACACGAGTTATTAAGTCATCGATTGCCAGAAAACTACATAGACAGTCTGTCGGTTGGACTGCCTAGTGATAACATGGATATACAACGACTGGAACGATATTTAAAAATAAATAAAATATATTTAATCATCGTTGGCATGTGGCCGAATCAAAAACGCAAAATGATTCCTCGTATTTTTATAGAGTTAATAGCGATCATGGCGCATCTTACACAGGTGTGTTTGATTTATTATTATAAAAAAAGAGAGAAAAAAAACCAATACTATAGTTATAATGATTAGACACTTTGTCTATTATTAATAATATTGGAATATCGTGTTTTTTTATCAACAATGTTTGTAAAATGTAAATATTACATTTTCTATCTTTAGAAATGAGATCTTTGATATCTTGAATCGAATTGACTTAATCGAAGTTCAATATATTATTTGAATTCAATATATTTTGGGGATGAAAACTCTATTGTATCTATTGTATCAAATTCAATTGATTCAATCCAAGTTTGATATTTTGAAAATTTAACAATATGCTGATACTTTGAAAATGTTATAGTTTATATTTTCAGTTCTAATCAATCCAAATTTGATTCAGTTTGAAAATGTTTGACAATGTGCTGATAGAATATTATTATTTTCTAAATATTATTATTTATTATTTTCAAAAACAATTCTGTTAATGTATCAATCATTTATTAATTCAATTTGATCCAAGTTTAATGGAGTTTGAGAGAGTTTGACAATGTATCGACAATGTATATTTGTTTTGCAAATATTACAATTTACATCTTCAAAGTTGAAAACTTTGATATTGTATCGAATCGAAATTGATTCAATTCAAGTTTGATACAGTTTGAGAAAGTTTAAGATAACTCAAAGAATGTTTTCTTTATTAATTTTTTAATTTGACAATGATCATTTGATTAATTTTATGGTAGGGAAGCAACATAATACTATTCTTTAGTCTAAATGTTGCAATGGATCAAATTCCATTTCTAGTGGTGGCTATTCTCCTAATGATAAAATACAACAATTTTATTATTAATGAGCAAAAGGTGAGAAATTTCGATAATTACAAATTATCGAAAAATGACAAGTGAAGTGAGATTAATATTTTAGTCGTTTCTTTGTATTTGGATAGTTCAAGGAATTGTTCACGAGTATTCTGAATGATTGGCAAAAGAAGAAAACACACGAGGAGGAAATGATCCTGGAAAAATACGCTGACAAAAGTTTATTCTTTATATTAATATACGTAGGTAAGATGGCAATATATCGATCAATCAATTTTCTCTAATCTCAAATTAATTCTCTCCACTGTAATTTATTTATAATTACTATTAAAATATAAAATTTTAAATTTAATATAAATATAAAATTAAAAATATAAAATTTTCTTAGTTTTATAGAACAGGTGTTAATATACATAAACTTACGATTTTGTTGCTTCTATTAGTTATTAATCAAAAGTAGAACTCGAGAAACATTGCAATATTTCAGCCTAGTTTAATATTCCATAAATAATTTACTTCGGTTGATTGAGAATAGATTGAATTCTTTTATATTATACAATGGCTTAGTACTGTAATAACATTAAAGTTAAAATTACTTATTTAAAATGCTATTATATAAAGTAATTTCTTTATATTTCAATCAAAATATCTATTCATTTCAAAACAATGTTTATAATGAATTGCTATTAAAATATATATTTGAAATACCATTCCTTTATTGCAATTGCCATTTGACAAAAAAAGATTTACTTACTAAAGATTTAAAATTCTGTATCATTCAAAATCTATTTTCCTCATCTCATTGAATATTTTTCCTCTATATATTTTTGCATATAATATGATATATAGAATAAAATATATCTAATATATACGCTTCTTACAATATTCAAATTAGATTAAAAAGAAAAAAAAAGAAAATACTATTTAAAAATATTATTCATGAGAAGAATCTTTTAATTACGTTTAAAAAAATAAATAAATTCGCATAATAATCATATATTCTCAATAATTAAACCTTGACATTGATGATACATTGCAGTAAACGCGTACTTTTGTGCAGTCCTCTTCTTGATCCTTCCCTTGACGCCTATTTTGTTGGATATATTCATACCCTTGAACGAGTCACGGCCGAGGATCCAGATATATCCAGCGTATTACTACATCGAGAATGAGGCCGATTATTATTATCCCATTTTGATATTCTCGATCGTATCGTTGTTCACGGCGATGTGCGTGTTCATTGCAACGGACACAACACTGGTCTACGTCGTGCAACACGCTTGCGGATTGCTCGCCCTTGCAGGGTAAGTTCTGATATTACATGCAATAATGCTTATTTGCTCATCGTTGATGCATGTTGTTTCCTTTTTAACGACATAACAATGTAATTTATTAAAAGAAAAAAAAATATATATATAAAAATATATGTTGAATAAGGTGATGGAGACAGAGCGATCTGTCTCTGTCTCGCTTCATCCAACGTAAAATTCAATTTATAATTCAATAAATAAGTCTCAATCGATATTTTTCTATATCAACTTTTATACTTATTTTGATCTCTAGAAATGACTCTTCAAAGATGCTTAATAATAATAATAATATAATAATAATAAATATAAATATAATAATAAATATATAGTAATAATAATAATATCCTGTTTAATAATAATATTTTAGAAATATAATTTTGCAGTTATCGCTTCAAAAATAGCTTGAACGATTTGTACTTGTTGAGGAAAGATGCGAAAGTGGATGAAAAAATATATAGAAGATTGTGCTACGCCATTAAATCTCACAAACGGGCGCTTGCGTTAGTATAATGATGTTCGAATTTTTGTCGTTGTTGTTTTTTGTCCTTTGTGATTTAGTTAAAAATTTAAATTAATAATTAATACAATTTTTAAATAATAGTTCTTTGATAATTTTCTAAAGTATTTTAACAAATTCTCAATTTTACAATCTGAAAATTGATCAGAGAAATACGAATTTTCTTATTCGCATTGATTATAATATCACTTTATTGATACTCTAACGCGCTTGGTTAAATTATTGAACACATGAAAATCGAGCTTTAAAATTAGATATCTCGCCCAAATCGAGGATTTTTTCTCTATGAATATCTTCGCGCAAGTGGGTGCATCAATTTTGTGTCTTACTGTCACGATGATGAAGGTGAGCGATCTTCATTCTTGGTGAATCTCTGATAGTTGTGTAAAATTGACTAAAAAATATTATTAAAAAAAAAAAAAAAAAAAAAAAAAGATAGCTACAATAACATGGTCCATGGAAACTAATCAGTATTACGGATATGTGATTGCTCAAGTGGTGCACATTTTCTTCCTCACAGCTCAAGGCCAATTCGTTATTGATTCACATAACAATGTTTATTGGGATATGTAAGTATTAACTATAATGTAACAAAATCATTTTTATTACGTATAATAATTTTTTTATGTGATCAAAAAAATTGTGTCATTCTTTTTTTGATAAAAAAAAAATAATATAAAATATATATATATATTTTTATATTAATACTTTACATTAAAATTTGTTTCGATTTCTATAATCGATCCTTAAGCTCCTATGAATATATTAACACTCTGTATATATATACTTTTGTTAAACCTGGATAATTATGTCGAACAGAATGTTAAATTTTACAAAATACAATTTATAATTTTTTCTATTAAGCATAATAAATAAATTATATTAAGAGTTATATTAAGAGTTTTATTAATGAATAAAAATTGTTTTCTACATTTCTTGCATTTTTCTTATCTACTAAATAAACACAATAAAATTTTGATTGCCTGATAATATTTATCGTAAATTTTTATTTTTGTAGATCTATTTTGTTAATTACAATTTATATAAATAGTGATATCGTAATAGGTACGAACCATATTGGTATAATGTGCAATATAAAATTCAAGCAATATTCGTTCTGATTCTGCGAAGAAATTTGAATCCCCCTCTGTTAACAGCCGGTGGATTAGTGCAACTAAACTTGAATACTTTTGCAGAGGTAAGCCATTAATCAACTTTGCAATACAATCGAGTATTCTCGAATGCATTTCACACGATATTCGTTTTAGGTCGTGAAAACGAGTGTCTCGTATTTTACCGTATTAAAATCTGTCTGAATGCCATTAATTATTCAAAAGAACAGTTGCCAAGTATAATATATTTTAACGTACGTATTATTTGCACAATAAAAAAGAAAAATCACAAATTCGTATTAAATATTTTATAAACTATTGAATATTCACAAAAATGAAATTTTAAATCAATTCTATTTTTCTTCTTTATTCGATTAAGAGATTCTATGGTACATAGCATGGGTTTTTTTAAAATTTTATTTGAATGGAATATTTACATAGATATAAAATAAAAATAACAAAATTATATTAGAATAGTTTATTTTCACAGTTAATCACTAACAATAATTAATCATTTATTGATTTATAGAAATTTATAGAAAAATAAATAAATATAAATATATTTTTTCTTAATTTTTTTTTTACTATTTTTAAAAATTTGAAAAGTATAAGATTTTCTTTTTAAATTTACCGCTGATAGTTACTGCCATCTATGGCGAAGAACTGTAAATCTTTAGTAAGACATATAGATTTCTAAAAATATATTTAGTTATATAAGTGCTGAAAATAACGAATAAAATAATATACCCTTTCATTTTAGTATTTTCATTTAATATTTTTATTAAAAATTAAAAATGCTTTGAAAAATATTTAATTATTTATAATTACTTACAGGATAATGCAGAGATATAGTACCAGATACCACGTGAAGAGGGCAATATGCACGTGATTCTGGATATTAATTTCAATATATTATAAACAATATGGTAATTTATATATGTATTTACACTTTATTTATGTTCTTTTTATAGATGAATATAAAAAAATTTTATACGTATATAAATAACACATTATTATTTCGAAATATATATCTTGGAATTTTTATGTATCTATATCTATATAAAAAATTATTTCCAATTGATGATCAATAAAAAATGATTAAAATAGAAAAAAAGCAAAACTTTTTCGATAATATTCATTCGTTCTTAATATTCATTCGTTCTTAATATTCATAATATTCGAATAATATTCATTCATTCTTTACTATATTTCTTTCTTTCAAAATGCATGAAAATATTTTACAAACAAGAAAATTTTATACTTTAAAAACATCAAAATACAAGAAAAAATAGATTATTCTTTTCTATTCGTAAAAACGATTCATGCACTTATATAATAAGAATAAAATTCACAATTTGGCATAATGCAATATTCTTGCTACGAATGTTATACTGTGATTAAAATGCTGGGACGAGTATTGAAAAGAATACTTTCCACCATTAATTTTTCAATCCCCTCATATAGATCCACTTATCCACTTAGTGCATACAGATTACCGCATCACTAGCCATAGCTACTACATCTAGAATTAAATCATGTTTAGTTATTCTTGCAATTTCTTTTTTCTTCGTAAAAAGAAAAAAAAAAGATAGTAAAAGCCGCCATTACTCTGTACAATATAAAATGCTTTCATTTTTCATATAAAGTAATCAAACCTATATATCTTTGTATTACGAGTAATCTCACATTGCTTATAAAACAATTATTTGAAATGATAAAAGAATTACTTACTACTGTCACTATTGCAGTGGAGAATATTCACATTTGCACTTAAACTGTCCTAGTCATGGCAATTTCTTCGTGGATTTGAAAACTTGAGAAACGCTTCTCGAGGATAGTCTAAAAGATAAAAGAGATCTTGTGATAAAATATTGTGTGATAAAATATGGATCAACAAGCAATGGAAGAGTTATATCTCAAGGATAACAAATTTTTCGGACAGCTTGTTGGTGTGTGGCCTGATCAGGGAAAATTCATGAAATTTTTCATACGTTTCATAATTCTTATTGTAATGATTATTGCCTTTATAGCACAGGTAATAATACAATTGTTATCAAAATAACATGTTTGTGAAATTATTATATTAAATGAAAGAGTTGTGGTTAGTTTATTGTAGTAAGAAAGTTTGGTATTAAAAAAATATTTTAAATATTTTTTAAGAAATTGAGTTATAATTGTTAAAATGTTATTAAAATATAGATATCACGGGTAGCAGTGTTTTACAGCGTCGACGTCTTATCAGATCAAATACCGTATATTGATTTAGGATTTGCCCTTATACTCAAGCAATACAATTATATCTTGAATGAGAAAAAGGTGAAAAATAATTAATTCTATAAATATTATGATTAAACTATTCTTAAACTAACATCAAAAAAATTTCATATTTTTAAAAAATGTTTGAACACAAATTGATTCTCGTTTATGAAGTAAAAATTAATACTCTGTATATGTATAATTATTAAAATTATAATTTTAAAAGCATAGCTCAGAGAACTTCTACATAACATTATATCCGATCGACTGGTGAAACGGTCAAAGGAGGAAGAAGAAATTTTTGAAATATATTTTAAGAGAGCAATGTTCTTCTGTTCCTTTTACGAAGGTGAAGAGCAAGCAAACAATTCTTTAAACAGTAAAAAAGAAAGAAAAAATATAAAAATTTGATTTTTTTCAAATCTAAAAGATATCGTTATTATTGGTTTACAATTAATGGAGATTTCGATTTTATAATATTTTAATTTTTAACAAAAATAAGCATTTTAATTTTCGAAACTTTTAAGACAATTCGAGTTTCGTAAACTCAAAAATCAGATGTTGAATTCTTATTTCTAACTATATATATATTCTACTTTTATTCCTTTTCTTTTCTTTTTTTTTTCAAATATTTTATTGTTTTTATTTTTAGTTAGCATATATTCTTGTGGATTTATGTTTCTCTCCATGCCATCTATACCACTAATAATGAATGTCATCATGCCATTAAACGAGTCACGAAATCGTGAACTCGTTTATCCATCCTATTATTTTGTGGATGAAGAGAAATATTATTATCTCATAACAGGACACATGTTAGCAGTGTGTCTTGGACACGTTTTTGTATATATTGCCTGTGATATAAATTTGATTCACGTTGTACATCATGGATGTGCCTTGTTGACCATCAGTGGGTAAGTAAGTACTCGATTTATTTAAAAATGATATATTATTCATTTGCTATATTAAAAATTTTTATTTTTTTTTAGTAACTAATTTTTCTTTAAAGTTTATTATTAAATATTATATTAAATTAATATTAAATTAAATTTTATGTAATTAATATAAATAAACACAGGTATCGTTTTAAACATGCCATGGATAATGTTGATCTTTGTAACGAAAAATATAGTGATGAGTTAATGGAGAAAACTTATGCAAAAGTAAGTCAATCCATCGATGCTCACAAAAAAGCTGTTGAGTTAGTATCATTATGTATAATAGATATAATTTGAATTATTTTTTATATAAGTTTTTTTAATATAATTTTATTATTTAATATATGATATTAGATATGTAAATAAAATCGATGCTTGCCATATACACTATTTCTTCATCCTTTTGGGAATGATAATTATAACATTCACGGGAACATTCATAAAGGCAAGTTATTATTCAATGAAACATTCTGTTTTCAATAATCGAATCAATATTGTTCAAAATATATATAATTCTTAATTTAATTTATAATATAATTTATTAATTTCGGTTTTTAATACGTTCACAATTTAACAAATTTAAAATTTTAAAATAACATTACTTATTTATACTTATATATATATTTATTTATGCTGCTTTTTGTTATATTACCTTTTAAATTTCTTTTTTTTTTTTAAATTTAGTTGGCATCGATGGAAATAGGAGGTAGATTCTTCACTTTTTGTACATTCACTATTGGTCAACTAACTCACTTGCTTTTTTTAATGGTCATGGGACAATTTTTGATAGATTCAAATGAAGAAGTCTTTAAAACAATGTGAGGCTATGATATATGTACATATATTAATTATTCAAATCGATTGCATATAACTTAACATAATCAAAACATTTAAATAAAGTTTGCATATATTTTATTAAATATTTTAATATCTTCAAATATTTTCAATTGATAAAATAAAAACAGTATTAATAACTCTGAAGTAATAGAAAATATTATAGTATAATAAAAATTTACGATTCAATTAATTATTAATATTTATAGATACGATGCTCGTTGGTATTATGGTTCATCGAAAACGCAATCGTTATATTTATTAGTACTGCGAAAATGTTTGAATCCACCGAAACTGACAGGAGGAGGATTGATCGCTTTAAATTTAGACAGCTTTGTAAAGGTCAGCTTATTTTTATAAAATATTAAAAATTTATCCTTAGGAAAGGGGTTAACGATTGAGTAACAATAACTGAATTGAATTTTTTCAGGTTTTAAAAGCGTCTTTCTCATATTACACAGTTTTTCGATCTTCATAAATCGATAGAAAGTGAAATGTTCGGTATATGTTTATGCAAGCGATATTTTTGTTCACAAAAATTTCTTATTACGTTTAATTATGTGATTGCACTTAAGTTACTTGCCGATAATCTTATTACAAATGTGAAATATAATATTTGCTTATTTTTTTCTTTCATTGTATTAATAATAATTCAATGTGATATAATTTATCGATAATTATTGAAAGATTAATAAGATTGGATTTAAATTTTTATTAATAAATTTTTAATATTGTGCTATTCAATTGTAATATTTCTAAAATATTTCCATAAATAAAATTTATTTTATACTGGAAATACAGTAAATATTAAAGATATCTGTAAATAGATTTTTAATAAATTAATAATAAATATCTTTATGTAAATATCTCATATCATATTAAAAAAATAAAATATAAATCTTAAATATTATCTATTAAATTATTAATATATTATGGTATTAAACCACATGCACAGAAAATGCATCGATTCCGAAATATCGATTTAACAAAGTCTAGTATACTTCCTCTTTGCTTCTCGTACCAACATTATATATTGTTTATTAAATGAGTTAATATTGTGTAAATAGTTGGTTAATATAAATTAACCATTGCAAAGAAAAATATAAAATATAATATCATAGAATATTTAATGTTCTGCATGAAATAATATTTATATTTATTATGATTTGCTATATTTTATTCGTTATAAATTTCATATAATTACATAAATTAATAATAATAAATATCAGTAACACTTATTAAGAGTGAAAAAAATTTTTCAAATTCGATGTTCTTCGATTTCTAATTATCCAATTAATTTTCAGTTTTGTATATAATATTTTTCCGTTTAATAGTATAATTTTAAAAGATGTTTAAAAGAAGCAAGAGGAAAATAGAGACGATAGCATGATAGAGGCCATTATTCTATCTTATTTTTTCTCAAATTCAAACTTAAAAATTATCGATTGCTAATAACTTGATAAAGGAATTTCAATCAATATCAATTTTTGTATTCATTTGGAATCGATTTTCTAAACATGTATGAATATATCTTTATCAAATTAATTGCAGCATTATCAAAAGCATTACAACATTGAAATTAGAATGTATTATAGTATATACCTGGATAATAATTATAGGGTCGAAGTCTCCCTGTTTCAAGTAGAAAGAAATGAGGAACCAGCCATGAAGGGAGCTATAGAATATAGAGCCGCAAACAAAAAAAGCCAGGATGGAAATCGAATCACATTCTCTCATGTGATAAGAAAACTTATATCTTGTGAAAAAATAGATAACAACAATATATTCTTCCGTATAGATACAAAACGATGAATCGTCTGAATGTTTCTACTATAAAAATATGAAGACCAATATTGGAAGGTGTAACATCGGTCATTAATTTTTCACATCGTACATATAGATCCATTTATCCACTTAGTTCGTACAAATTATTACGTCGTTAGATATTGCTATTATATCATAATAAAATTATGTTAAATTGTTCCTACAATTTTCTTATTAAGAAAGAAAAACGAAGATAGAAAAAGCTTCATTATTATTAGGCAAAATACCTTTCCATTTTCCACATAAATTAATCTATATATCTTTGTAAAAGCAAGTAGTTATGTAAAGCAATTATTTAAAAAGATAAAAGAATTATTTAATACTATTATTACAGTATTGAAAACATACATGTTTTACATTTAGACAGTCTGATCATGGCAGTTTCTTGTGGATATGAATACTGATGATAATAAACGTTTCTTGAGGATTGACTAATAGATGAATAGATCATTGATCATATACAAATAATTGCATTTAATTCTTTTCAACTATCCTATGATAAAGTATTATTATTATTATTTACAAGATCATGAACAAGCAAGCAATAGAGGATCAATATCTGAGAATCAACAAATTTTTTGGACAGCTAGTTGGTGTATGGCCTTATCAAGAAAGATTTACCAAATCTTGCATACGACTAACTATATCCGCCATAATAATCCTTACTCTTACAACGCAGGTATTAGATTAGGCTATGCCTAGTAAGTAATTTCGTTTTAAATTACAAATAATTATTTATTATAAGATTCTTATTCGTCATAAAAATAAAAAATAAATAAATAAATAAATAAAATAATGATGTTAATATGTTACATTGATCATGTTCTTTTAATTCAACTTCAAAAAATTGTGTGTTTTTTATTTTGTATATAATATTATGACAATGAAATTTTATTAGAATTCCATTAAAGTTAAAACGATATTACTTATGGGATGATTTAATAAAAAATAAAATTATATAGATAAAGAAGCATAAAATTGAAGGCACTTGTCTTTAATTTCCATATTTTGTGATCAAAGATCAATTGGATAATTAACTTTGAGATTTCCTTTTGATTGTATTACATATATAAAAAATAAGTAATTAAAATCAAATTAAAATTTGCCTATTATTTTCATCTCCTAAATGAAATTTTAGTTATATTTCTCTTCAAAGAGAAATTACGGTTATTATATGGAAATATCATATAATATATGGTCTTGAAATGAACCAATATAATTTAAAATAAATTATTGCTATCTATATTTTTTTAAAATGTTAATATTAAATAATAAATATTACAAATAATATTATAGATATTATAGATTATATTATAGATATATCAGGTAATAGTGTTCTGCACATTGGATGCCTTATCGAATCAATTGCCATACTTGAATGCTGTGTTCATCCTCTTATTCAAACAGTATAATTATATTTTAAACGAGGATAAGGTAAAAATTTATAATTTTATTTTATATCTACGATCTTTAGAATAATTATAATAATTTGGTTATTAAAATCACAGCTCAGAGAACTTCTAAATGACATCATATTTGATCGGCTGATGATACGATCGAAGAAAGAGTTAGAAATTTTGAACATGTATTCAAAAAGGGCAACGACACTCTGCATTTTTTATGAAGGTAACAAATAAAAAATATATATGTAAAAAAACGTATAAGGAAATACTGATCACTTAAGAAAAATTATTTAAAAAATAAATCTATATTTTATTAATATATTTTTTAAAACAGTTAATCAGTTATTATTATAATAATTATACAATTTTTATCAATGTTATTATCAGGTGTATAATAGTTCTTCTAAATATTTATCCTGAAAAAATATTATATGGAATGTATAAAACTAATCATTTAACTTTTTAACATTCATGCCCATTCCATATACACTTAATTGTTATCTATTTTTATAATTAAATATTATAAAGATATATCATATTTATAATTATTCTTATTAGTAATTTATTATAAAAAATTTTTTTCTTTATTGTTTTAACAATATTATATGTACTTGTATATTATATTATTTAATATAAATTTATATTCATGCATATAAAAACAAAAATACGAAATGCAAAAATAAAATTTTTAAATGAAATATTTTTAAATGAAAATAAAATTTTAGAAATTAATTATATCTTTCTTAATGATACATTACTTAATATCAATTGTATCATCAATTTCCTTACTTTTTCCTACATTTCTCATCATTTTACTTTTATCTTACATTTCATTTTCTTCAGTTATAGTAATTTCCAGCGCGATCATGTTCATCATGATACCAACTATACCACCTATTTTGAACATCATCATGCCTTTGAACGAATCACGAGGCCGTGAATTTATCTATCCAACCTATTTTTTCATAGACGAGGAAAAATATTATTATCCCATACTAACGTACATGGCAACAGTAATATTAATAGTGTCTTCAGTGTATTTAGCCTGCGATACAAATTTGGTGCAAATTGTACATCATGGATGCGCCTTGTTAGCAATAAGCGGGTGAGTAGTTCACGTTTTAACCGCACATCTTTCATCCCTTAGAACCCGTTTATTCATTTACTTTCTTTTCTATCATTAATTTCTCTGTAGGGTTTAGATATTGTGTTAAAATTACGCCCATCTAAAATTTTCACTGTAATTAATGAAAATGAACATAGGTATCATTTCAAGCATGCAGTGGATGACATGAAGTTTTCCGACGGAAATTATATTGACCTCCTAATGGATGAAACTTATAAAAAGGTTAAACAATCCATTAAAGCTCACAAAACAGCCGTTGAGTTAGTATTGTCGTTTACAATTAGTAATATAGTATGTAAAATGTCATATATATCGATTCTTTTATATATTTTTTTATTACATCGTTATGCTAGATACGTGGACAAAATCGACGCCTGCCATATATATTACTTCTTACTTATCATAGGAACGATAGTATTAGCTTTTACCGGTACTTTTCTAAAGGTAAGTCACCATTCGTTAAAACTAGTTTGCAAAATATACACATATACACAATGTTCTACATATAAAATGGAATATCTTTGGAGGATCTATTCTAAAATACAAAATTAGTGTAGAAAAATGTCGGGTGAGATTTATTTATTAAATAAGAAAACATTTTGAATGAAGCGAGATGGAATGGAGCGTCAATGTGACAAAGAGAAAGCTATCTCATTCAATCTCTGTTTCAATTCTTTTGGCACAAAAATAAATTGCTTATAATTATACAATCGATATTCTTGTTTGTTTTTGTCTTTAAAATCAAAATCTTCCAAAAATACATTATATATTAACAAATTATACTATTCTGATTTAATATTTGATATTATTGTCCAAATTTAGCTATCAACCATGGAAATAGAGATAAGATTCTTCACGTTCTGCGGATACACTGTTGCTCAATTAACTCATCTGTTTTTCTTAACGATTATGGGACAGTTTCTTATAAATGCCAACGATGAAATTTTTCAAACAATGTGAGATTTTTATATGTATTGATCATTAAAATTTGAAATAAATTAAAAAAGAAAGAAAGTAATAATAGAATCGAATAAATTATACAATACAATTGAAAATTAATAAAAAAAAATATGCAGTGGTAATATATAAATTATCATTTGAAAGCATCATTTCATTGAATGTTTAAGTCACAGATAAATATTAATTATTATTTGTATTTGGTTTTAATAAATGAAGTATTTACATTCTGTATTATTGAAATTCAATAAGCATTTTATTTCTTTTATATATTTTCTTTAATATATTTAACTTTCTACGTTCTTGATTGTTCAATCTTTAATTATTTTAAATTGAATATTATATTTCAAAAGATTATGTAAATTTTCATAAGTCATAAAGTATATATCATACAATAGAATTAACGATTCAATTCATTATATTATGTGTATAGATATGAAGCACATTGGTACAATGGTTCATCGAGAACGCAATCATTATACGTACTGGTACTTCGGAAATGTTTGAGTCCGCCAACATTGACAGGAGGAGGCTTAATTGCTTTGAATTTAGACAGTTTTGTACAGGTGAGCCTTTTACATAAAATTAGACAAATATTTTATAATTTCTGATTAAATTACATTAATTTTTTCCAGATCTTAAAATTATCATTTTCATATTATACCGTATTTAGATCCTAATAAATTGATGATTAATAGATTAACTATATAATATATAAAGTAGAAAATTCAATGATGTACATGCAATTGTCGGTATTTATATTTATATAATAGTATATTAATTAAGTTGTAGAATTAATTAGGGTTAGTTATTTATTGTTTCATGCATAAAGTATATTCATGTTAAATATAAACTATGATATCTTTTTTTTTCCTTTCTTTTTTTTGTTTCCAATACAGTACACATGAAAAGTAATAAAGTTCTGATTATTGTATTGTAAGATTAAGATCAATAGATTCAATATATTCAATAAGTAAACTTATAGAAATTTTGATAAATGATAAGTATAGTAAAAAATATTGGTACTCACTTCAAGATGATTTCATGATTTCTTGTTCATTTGGAAATGAATACAATTTTTTTATTTTTTTTATCCTCATACAAAAAATGTTATAATAATATCAAGTTTCAGTAACTAAAATCAGATTTTGTTATGTACTCAATCATTATTAATTGATAACAATTTTTAATTTTTACAAAGAAAAATAAAAATTGTAATTTTATTTATTGTATTTATAATTTAACAAATTGAAAATCATGTCACGTAAAAATTTAAAAATACATTTAATTGATTTACTTTTTAGTTACTCACCAGATAATATACCGATCATAGGTATAACTATTAGAAAATCACTATTAGAGGACACTATTATCTAATTTTGACAAATTTTAAGAGACTTAGCACACATAAGATATATTATAGATTTAACAATCAATGGAATATTTTGTTTCATATTCTAAAATAATTAAATTCACTGATATTTTCTCATGTTTCTCGATTTCTTCTTAATTGTTCAATAAGAAACTTATATTTTATAAAACTGCAAAATGGATATCGATAGTTTATTCTTTCGTATAAATATAAGTCAATGAATTGTCCGAATGTTTCGCTACAACTAAACTATGAAGACCAGCACTGGAAGGTGTAGCATCAATCATTAATTTTTCATTCTCTACATATGGATCCACTCATCCACTTAGTTCATACAAATTACTACTTCTTTGGACACTGTTAACATGTCGAACAACAAGTTGTATGTTAAGTTGATCTTGCAATTTTCTTATTAAGAAAAGAAAGAAATAGGAAGATAGAAAATGTTATTATTCTTAAGGAAATATCTTTCCATTTTCTATATAAATTAATCAAATCCATATATCTTTGTAAAAACGAGTAATCATGCAAAACAATTATTTGAAAAGGAATTATTTATTGTTACTATGATCAACATCCACGTTTACATTTAGACTGTTTCTTATGACAGTATTCTTGTGGACATGAAAACCGATGGATCGACTAACAATTGAACAGGATCGTTGACGGTACAGAAATAATTACATTTATTTTTTTTTCAATAATCCTGTGATAAATCGTTATTATTGTTTATATATGATTATGGACAAACGAGAAATAGAGGATCAATATCTGAAAATCAATAAATTTTTTGGACAGTTAGTTGGTGTATGGCCATATCAGAAACAATTTTTCAAAACTTGCATACGATTCGTCACGTTTACCATAATGATTTTTAGCCTTGCAACACAGGTATTATAAATTTATACTATTTCATTATTTATACATATCATATCAATTTTTAATAATCGAATTAATATCAAATAAATTATTTTATTATTTTATTCGATTTATATTATATTATAGATATCACGAGTTATAGTTTTCTACAGTTTGGATGTTTTATCGGATCAATTGCCATACATCAATGCAGGAATTGTCACCTTATTCAAGCAATACAACTATATTCTAAACGAGGATAAGGTGAAACTCTACAATCTTGTTTATTCTACAGTCTTTAGGATAATTATCAGTGTATTAAAACCGCAGCTCAGAGAACTTTTAAACGACATTGTATCCGACCGATTGATGGAACGATCGAAGGAGGAATTAGAAATATTGGAAATGTATTCAAGAAGGACAACAGCCCTCTGCGCTCTTTACAAAGGTTACGAATAAGAAGATAAAATTGTATTACAAAAATTGATATCATGGAATGACGATTTTTAACACAAATATCTCGTTTTGAGAATACGTAGGAGAAAGTGAAAGAATCGCTCTTTCCTACATTTCTCCTCCATCTTTATTTATTTATTTATTTATTTTTTTTTTTTTACACTACATTTAATCTTCTTTGGATTTAGTTATGGTATATTCCTGTGCATTCATGTTCCTCGTCATACCGACTATACCGCCTATTCTGAACATCATAGCGCCTTTGAACGTATCACGAGGCCGTGAATTTATCTATCCAACCTATTATTTCGTAGACGAGGAGAAATATTATTATCCCATATTGACACATATGATAGCAGTGATATTGGTACTGTCTTCAGTATATCTGGCCTGCGATACAAATTTGGTACAAATTGTGCATCACGGATGCGCCTTGCTAGCTATCAGTGGGTGAGCATTAAGTATTTGTTAATCTCTTTCAATTTATTATTATTCTTTTCTATCATTAATTTCTTTAGGATTTAAATATTAAAGTTATATTAAATTTTTGATTGTAATCAATGAAAATGAATACAGATATCATTTCAAGCATGCAGTGAATGACGTAAAGTTTTGCGACGGATATTATATAGACGCCTCAATGGATGAAACTTATGTAAAAATTCGGCAATCGATTAAAGCTCACAAAACGGCCGTTGAGTTAGTACACAATTGATAATTTGTATGTAAATCTCATATATATATCAACTCTTTTATATACTTTTTATTATAACATGTTATGCTAGATACGTGGATAAAATAGACGCCTGCCACATACATTACTTCTTAGTTGTCATAGGAATGATAGTATTAGCTTTCACCGGTACTTTCTTAAAGGCAAGTTACTATTCAGAGTAATATACAGAGTATATTAGTACTCTGGTATATATAAAAATGAAATATCTATGAAGGGTTGGTTCTAAAGATCAAAGTGAACGTAAAAGTTTAAAAAATTTTACAAAATATTACAGATTTATTATTTTATTGAATTAAAAGAAATTTTGTTCGATTAGGATAGACAACATTTATACTATCTAAAACCATTTAATATTGAATATTATCTTCCTTCTAATGTAAAAGTAAATTGTTTATAATTTGATAAACAAATCTCAATTGATATTTTTATTTGTTTTTGTCTTTAGAATCTATTCTCTAAGAATATATGATTACTCTGTACACAATTCTGATTTAATAATTTGATATTATTCCATTCAAATTCAGTTGTCGACCATGGAAGTGGGGATAAGATTCTTTACATTCTGCGCATACACTATAGCTCAATTAATCCATCTATTTTTCTTAACGATTATGGGACAGTTTCTCATAAATGCCAACGAAGAAACTTTCAAAACAATGTAAGATTATTATTGATTATTAAAATAGGGAAAATTATAAATAATTAAAAAAAAAATATAATAAAACTAAATAATATAACTGAAAGAACTGAAAGAATAGAAAAAATGGAATTATTGATTATCATTTGAAGATATTTCATTTATCATTAAAATTACAATTAAATAACATTTGCATGTGGATTATAGATATATAAATAAAGTATTTATATTCTGCATTATTGAAATTCAATGAAAATTCTATTTTTTTTTCTTTTTTAGCGTATTTAACATCATATTTAATATATTCTCGATTATTCAATTACTATTTTGTACTTCATGTGATATAATTACATGATTTATAAATCAAAGTATAATATTATATAATAAAAAATTCAATTCATCACAATGTGTGTGTGTATATAGATATGAAGCACATTGGTACAATGGTTCGTCGAAAATGCAATCATTATATGTATTGGTACTTCGAAAATGTTTGAGTCCGCCAAAATTGACGGGAGGGGGATTTGTTGCTTTGAATTTAGACAGCTTTGTACAGGTGAGCTCTTTTAAAATTGGATAACTATTCTAAAGAAATTATATCCGATCAAATAATATTGAGTGAATTTTTTTCAGATTCTGAAAGCATCATTTTCGTATTACACTGTATTTAGATCTTAATAAATTGGAAGAGAAATTAAAGATATAAAATAGAAAATTCAAAGAATTTGTTGATGCAACTTATTAGTATTTATAGCTATTTGTATAATAGTATAGTAATTATTATTATAGAGTTAATTAGATTTAGTTATTTGTTGTTTTACGCATAAAGGATATTTATATATTAAATAAATGTCATATCTTTTTTCTTTCTTCTAATTCAATATATATGAAAAAAAATACATAATAACATATTTATAAGTATTATCGTCAAATGAATAAATGAATCTTTAAATAAGTGCAATTTTAGATAAACTATAAAAGAATAGAATAATAGAAATATCATTGTTACTCACTTCAAGATTTCGTGATTTCTTGTTCATTCTAAAAAGATGCAATATCTGTTTGTTGAATTTTTTGCTCAGAAAACAGAAAAATGGATGTTGCAAGATATAATTATTCAAGTTTCAAAAAATTATCGAGACTTAGAATCAAATTTTATATATTCATTTTTTAATCATTATTAATTAATAAGAATTTTTAGTTCTTATAAAGGAAAATAAAAGGAAATGTATATTTAAAATTTAATTTAAAAAAAAATTAATTAGAAAATATATATAAAAAATATTATATAATCTTTTTTTTATTATTTAGCTTCTTAAATGATTATTGATATGACTATTGGAATTTTACAGGTAAAACATTGCTGTAACGCGAAAAATAGTAAATTAAATATATAAAATATATATTTTTATAGAAAACAAGATTGAATCGAATATTGTATTTATAACTTAACAAATTGAAAATCATATTATATCTATCTGATTAATAAAAATTTAAAAATATATTTGATTGATTTGTTTTTAATTACTCACCAGGTAATGTACCGATAGATATAATTATTAAAAGATTACTATCAGAGGGCACTATTGTCTGGTTTTGACAAATTTTAAGAGACTTAGCATACACAAGATATAGAATAGATCTAACAATCAATGGGATATTTTATTTCATATTCTAAAATAATTAAATTCGAATTTCATTGATATTTTCTCATGTTTCTCGATTTCTTCTTAATTGTTCGATAAGAAACTTATATTTT